TAAATGGGTTGTACTTCAAGCTTAATAGTTTGGACGTCTTAAAAAAATAATATTATTATATTCAATCTATTTATAGAAATAGTTAGATTTTTTTATAAGTAGTAAAGATATATATATATAATATATATATATATTATATATTATATATATATATATATATATTATATATATATATATATATATATATATATATATCACTAACATTAAAAAAAAAAAAAAAACTAAATCTAAACTGAAATATTAAACTCGAATAACAACTATCACAAGGGGAGTTGATTTTTCAGATTATCTTCTAACTCAGATTAACTAAATTCCTGCCTTGATGCCATGGATTATTAAAATACAAGAAATTTTTCTGAATAGAAATATAGGTGGGTTATGACCAACCACACAAAAAAAACTAAAATCACAATCAATAACAATGTGTAGAAAGAAAAAATTAAAGACAAAACATGCAAATCTAAGAAAGCGCAAAGATTTTATACTATTTATATGTAGTTTTTTTTGTTTATTATATAAACAAATAAAAGATATTCAATGATCTAGGATGACCACACAACCTTCGTTTTCGATACTATTTTCCCTTTGCCGCATAGGCGTTTTCCTTTTTTCTATTCCATTTTCGTCGTCCATATTCCATGCTAGACGCCCAACTCGGAACCTAAAAAAGACTAGAAGAAAATCGACGCTAAATTTGAATCAAGTTCTTTTGGTTAGTTTTCTCGAAGGGATATAATTCAATATTCTTGTCAGAGCTGCTTACCCCACTTGAGAGGAAGTGATAAACTTGAGTTTTTCCATGTCGGTTATTCAATTCGAGAGTCTGATCCATTGAGAATCAAGTTAATCTGCACCCATGTTTCTGCTCAGGTTACTCGCTAGAGAGAAAGTGGGCAATAAAATTGCAGTTCACTTTGAGGGTTAACTTAATTTGAGAGATTGAGAATTGAAGTTCAGTTGAATTGGGTTTCAATTTAAACCAACGATTTCTCAGTTCGTATTTCTCCTTTTAGTTGCTTCAGTACGTATATATACAGAAAGAGTACGCGATAAGACTGAATTCCATTTTGTGGTTTTAATTGAACTCAATTCTAGCCATTTAGGTGAAGTGTGTTCAAGTCCATCGATTTCTTTGTTGGTGTTGCTTCAATCTTGGGTCAGAGAATTAAAATGGATCTGACTGAAGAGATCGAAAACGAAGGTGGCATATGGGCTTTGGAGCAGAAGATCGATCAGCCAATGGACGAAGAGGCTGGTAGGCTCAAGAATATGTACAGAGAAAAGGTAACTTTATGCCACTTTCTTTTTCTCAATGCTTTTGCTTTTTGGGGGTTAATCTCTCTCTCATGAATACAGCTTTCGTAGATTCTATTAATTTTCTTTTCCATATGGGTCAATCTTGTTTCTGTTTTCGTCATTCCTTGTTCTTGTAGTCCGCAGGTTGATTAGGGATTCAACTCAACTTTTCTTTTTTGCTTGTTGTATGAAAGAAAAGCTAGATTCCCTAATCATAATGCCCCTTAAATGCAGAAATTCTCTGTTTTAGTTACAAAGGTTATAAGTTTTTGATGATAAACTATTGTGTCAAATGCAGAAATTCTCAGTTATATTACTTCTTCGTCTTGCATTTCAAAGTCTTGGAGTTGTGTATGGAGATTTGGGAACTTCTCCTCTATACGTATTCTACAATACATTTCCTAAAGGAATTGATGATACAGAGGATGTTATTGGGGCACTTTCCTTGATCATATATTCTCTTACTCTTGTTCCACTCATTAAATATGTTTTCATCGTCTGTCGTGCAAATGACAATGGTCAAGGTACCTATTTCTCTACTTTTATTTACTTATTTATGTATCTTTTATCATATTTCGGTTTATTATGTAATAATTTAAACACTATTGTTTGTGTAACTTTAAATTGAGACCATTATGACATGCTATATATACATCATATTGTTGGTTAGAAGGCCTTGTTGTGGTCCCCACATGTTTTGCCCTAGTGGTAAAAGGGGGTAACCCTACACACAATAATCTTCCTTTTAGCAGTTTTGTAGAGATGTTTTTACTTTTTATGACTCAAAAACCAGAAATGCCTTATCGTATTTCGTTTGTTGCATAAAAGAGGGTGTGAAAGTATTATGTGTATTTCTCACTGAATCTGCTTCTTTCCACTTTCTGGACTTCAAATCTTCAATCTGCATTGATCTTGATGGATCAATGGTATTCACTAACAGATTCCTTCTTTGTCTTTGTCTAATCCGAGTGATTTCTTTCATTTCATGAGTCTGAAATCTATTTCTATCCGTTCTTTACTTAACACTTAACAGATTCCTTCTTTGTCTTTGTCTTTGTCTTTGTCTAATCCAGTGATTTCTTTCAATTCCATTCCAACATCTATCCTCATTGGCTCTTTCTGTGATGCTTTTTGCAGGCTAGATTTGAGCTGTGAAAATAGCCTGTAATTGTTAACTATAATGATTTGGTGTCATAATGCTTCTTTCCTAGAGGTATCTGTAATTCTGTATCTCACCTCCTTAATCTTAATCATCCCTTTCAACTACATTGATTTTATAATTATAAAGTCTTGAAAGTTGAAGAGTTCAACATCACTCCTTATCTCCAATCTTGGATTCTACTTGTTTTCCTTCATAGTTGACTTTTCTGTATGGGTTACAAAGCGAAAAAGTCAAAACTATCCTTTATGATGATGTTGTCTTGACAAGTCAACCACTGAATTTGTTAATTATTTTGTAGGGGGGACTTTTGCTCTTTACTCATTATTGTGTCGACATGCAAAAGTTAATACAATTCCTAATCAACATCGAACTGATGAAGAGTTGACAACTTATAGTCGAAACACAATTCATAAGCAATCATTTGCTGCAAAAACAAAGAGATGGTTGGAAGCACATGCATTTAGAAAGAATGCCCTTCTTTTACTTGTCCTTGTTGGCACTTGTATGGTTATTGGAGATGGAATTCTTACTCCTGCTATTTCAGGTAACATTATCATCATACTAATTATTTTCAAAAAAAGAAAATTTATTTTTCTACTTTTATCTTCATGTAAAACATTTTTGCTTCTCTTCTTGTACTTCTATTTATTTTACATTATTCGTAATATTTGGATCACCTTTTAAAATCCCGCTTCTTTTTGATGCAGTTGACCTTAATTAGAGTTAATGCAACATTATTTTTGTAGGGTAAACCAATTAAGTCACTTTCATTTTTGGCTGAAAGTTGACAAAATAATTGCAATTTTAATCGCTTTGAGAGAACCTAGTCATCTGGAAGATGAAAAACGAAGACCATTATTATGAATTTAATAGGTTTATCCTTAAAATATGCATTAATTTTCCACAAATATTTTCCATCTGTTTTTTTTTTATTCCATATATATGATATCACCTTTTTTCTAGATAAAATATTTGCGTAGGTTAAAAAGAATCTTTATTTCTGGTTTAATTTTCTTAATTCTGATTTGTTTTTAATGATGATCTATACATATAGGAGTTCTTGATCTTATGTATCTTACTTTTTCATTAGTTATGAAATGTTTTTAACCATAATATGTATTTTCACCAGTTTTATCAGCTTCTGGGGGTATCAAGATAGACCACCCTAGGATGAGTAACGGTAGGTCAATATTTTGCTTCTATTTATAGAAAGAATTTTTCGTTACCTTTTTTTATTTCTTCTTTCTAAAAATCTCCATGTTTTAATTTTGTTCTTTGTTGTAGATGTTGTAATACTAGTTTCTGTTATCATACTACTATTCTTGTTTAGCCTACAACATTATGGTCCAGACAAAGTAGGATGGCTTTTTGCTCCAATCGTATTGCTTTGGTTTCTCTTAATCGGAGGAATTGGAATCTTCAACATCTGCAAACATGACAAAGGCATTTTACGCGCTTTTTCACCCGTATATATATTCCGCTACTTTAAAAGACGTGGTAAAAATGGTTGGATTTCCCTCGGTGGAATCATGCTCAGCATCACAGGTATTCAGTTATTCACCCGGGATCGGAATGGAATCGTATTCCATTCCAGTTCCAACCAATTCCATGGAATCTTACGAACCAAAAATTGTAGGGACGGAGGCACTTTTTGCAGACCTTGCTCATTTTCCAGTTTCAGCAATCCAGCTGGCATTTACGGTTGTTGTGTTTCCTTGCCTTCTTCTTGCTTATTGTGGACAAGCAGCCTACCTTATGAAGAACAAAGAACATGTGTACGATGCCTTTTATCGCTCTATACCAGGTTATATATATATATATATATATATATATATTTTTTACCACTTTGCTACTATAAATAATCTTAAATTTACCACATTGTGGGAGTTTTAGTTCCAATGTGAATACTGGCGAAATAGTGTGAGTCAGCTCAGGGGTTGCAGTTTTTTTTTTTTTTTTTTTTTTTACTGAAACTGTAATAGGAGTTTTTTGTAATAGTGCAGATGGAATATATTGGCCGATGTTTGTTATTGCAACTTTGGCTGCTATTGTTGCGAGTCAAGCTACTATATCTGCTACTTTTTCTATAATTAAGCAGGCTAATGCACTCGGCTGCTTTCCTCGAATCAAAGTTGTTCATACATCAAAGAAATTTTTGGGGCAGATTTATGTTCCGGATATCAATTGGATTCTTATGGTTCTCTGTATCGTTGTAACCGTTGGATTCAAAAATCAAAGCCAGATCGGCAATGCTTATGGTGAGTATGCGTAACAAATGGAGAAATACTTGGAAAGCTTTCTAGGGTTATTTCGGTTATTCAGACGTCTTTTGCACAGACGAGAGATCACGTCTTTTGCACAGACGAGAGATCAAGAGCGAGTTCTTGTCCCACCTTGTTGGGTTGCAATTTTTTGTCCTGTTGATATCAGTTCTAAACGCACTACAAGACTGTTTTGTCCTACACATGGCAAAACAAGTTGTACTGTGTTTGACGTGCATTAGACTGGAACCAAAACTGATATCAACGGGGTAAAAATTGCAAGTTTTTGTCCCACCCAAAAAGGTGGGACACAAGCTCATCCGTGTGTGCAAAAGACATAAATGCCCTCGTCATCTTCATCATAAAGAAATAGCCCTAGAAAACTAAACTTATTTCGATCATGTGATTATAGGCACCGCAGTTGTCGTGGTCATGCTCGTAACAACATTCCTCATGATCTTAATCATGCTGCTTGTGTGGCGATGTCATTGGATTCTCGTATTCATCTTCACCGCACTCTCTCTCATTGTCGAGTGCACCTACTTTTCATCTGTACTTTTCAAGATCAACCAAGGCGGGTGGGTCCCACTCGTGATCGCGGGAGTATTCCTTCTCATCATGTACATCTGGCATTACGGAACCCTTAAAAGATACGAATTCGAAATGCATAGTAAAATCTCAATGGCATGGATCCTCGGTCTCGGCCCAAGCCTCGGTCTAGTCCGTGTCCCCGGTGTCGGGCTCGTGTACACCGAGCTCGCAAGTGGGGTCCCGCATATTTTCTCACATTTGGTAACAAATTTACCCGCGATCCATTCGGTGGTTGTGTTTGTCTGCGTGAAATATCTCCCGGTTTACACGGTCCCCGAAGACGAACGGTTTCTCGTGAAACGAATCGGGCCGAAAAATTTCCATATTTTTAGATGCGTAGCGAGGTATGGATACAAAGATTTGCATAAAAAAGACGATGAATTTGAGAAGAAACTTTTCGATAATCTTTTCTTGTTTATAAGACTTGAATCGATGATGGAAGGTTGCTCGGATTCCGATGAGTATAGTGTGTTTTCCGGTGGCCAGAAAACCGTGTGTTCGCCGGAAAATGAAACGTGTTCATCGGTTGGTGACTGTATCTTGCCGGAAAACATGGCGGCGGGGATGTCTTCCGGGAGAGCGAGCAGTCATACGGAGGTGGATGAGATGGAGTTTTTGTTGAGTTGTAGGGCGGCCGGAGTGGTGCATATAATGGGGAACACGGTGGTGACAGCTAGGCGGGGTTCGAGGTTTTATAAGAGGATTTCGATTGATTATATTTATGCTTTTTTGAGAAAGATTTGCAGGGAGCATAGTGTGATCTTTAATGTTCCTCATGAGACCCTTTTGAATGTTGGGCAAGTGTTTTATGTGTAACACTTATTTCATTAATGAATTTAAATTTAGTTCTATTTTTTACCTTTCAAATGTTTTCGATTTCTACAAGGTAGGTTAAAATTTTGGTTTTAACTCATCCTTTTACTTTTTATGTACAAAGCGTAAGTGATTTTAGTTTGTTTAGTTAAAAAATATTAGCATCTTAAATAAAAATGAATATCATATTTACATAGTTCAAATTTTTAGAAGCAGTTTTAAAAAAGAACTTATTTCTATAAGAACAATCTCTCATGAATTTTTTCAAATGAGAATTGTAGAAAATCTCTCGTATATATAAAGTATCGACGGGTGAAAATCAATCAAATTATTGATGAATTTAGTGTAATGTAAGTTTCTTGGATCATTTTTATGATAAATAGACTTATCAAAATTCAATGTTCAATTAATTTCATCTATAAAATTATAAAATAATATTATAATACGAAAATTAATTATTATTTTTTGGATTTAACCAACGTTATAATTTTAGAAGGTGTAATTCTTATGTAAATATTTATTATATCGTTGTTCAAATTTTGTGTATTATAACATAAACAATTATTGCGGTTGAAATTTCAATAGCGGTCACATGCCACTATTTGAAATCCCGGTTATCATTGTGGTATAGCGGTGATATAGTGGTTTTCTATTATTATGTGTAATTTATATTATATATTTATACAAGGTTTATATATATTAGAGTATTAGAGGGTGTTTGGTTTAGTTTTTTAAAGCCAAAAGTTTTTTTAGGAAAAGATAGAAAACAAAAGATGTTTGACAAATGCATTTTAAAAGCTACTTTTGGATTTAGATACAAGTAAAAATGAACTTTTTGGAAAAATCGGGAAAACTGATTTTTTGTGACTTTTCAAAAAATGACTTTTGTCCCTGAAAAGCTAAGCTAAACACCAATACTATATAGAATTCATATTATAAAAATTCATATAAGAACATCACATAAACCATATATATAATATTATAATATATTAATATGAAAATTAAAAAATGTCAAAATGTTATTGCAATTCAAGTCGTTCGTGGTTTCTAAGTACAAAAAGAAACGAGAAACAGAAGTTGTTATTTATTGTTTTGTAGTTTGTAATTAAGTAGATTTATTATTTGGACTTACTAAAACAAAAGTATAATGGACAAATTAAAAAAATACAAATTTAATATTGAAATAGTCTACAATCGGTTTTTTCTTTGTAAAAGTAGTTCAATGTGTATGAAATTGTGAAAGCGGGTGTAGCTTTGCTATAGCGTCGATGAGATTCACGGTTAATAACGCTCGTAATAACGTCACAGCTATTTGCAAACCCTATTTCAAAATGACAGTTCAGTAATACCGCAAAACACTATAGCCCTGCTATATAACGCGCAATTGATAGCATAAATTATTGGAAAACTTTATCTTCTTTAAAAGACTAAATCTCTTTTTCTTATGTTTTTTTTTTCTCTTTTTGTTTTCTGTTGTAATTTTTTTGAAAAAGAATATATAAATATTGATCATATCAATATAAAAATCAAATTCCGCAATAGAAAAACAAAAACCCTAGAGACAAAATCGAACAAACAGGAAGTTAGTTGTAAACTAAATCTCAAACACCAAGTTCGATAACTATGGGTTACCATCCGATTCCAATCCATCATCCATGTCCCAAATCACACCAGAAATAGCTATTCGAGGGTGATAGAAGAAGGTAACCCCACTCCTATGGCTATTCTGTATACTTCAAATCCTAATCCAATCCCTAAAAAGAAAAACAAGTTTCAGAATACAAAAACTCAAACACAACACATGGACTTTGTGGTGATGATGACAGGAAGAAGCATTCAGGCGCACTTTCTCTCTCTAGTCATGGAAGAAGTAGAAGACGATGAACGTGAAAAATGGGAAGTGGGTGTGTGGGCTCGCGTGAAGAGAGAGAGAGAGAGATGAGTCTGGTGGGGTGGGGAGTGATACATCGTCCTGGCGGACCCACGTGGCAGGAGGGGATTGGTTAAAGGAGGAGTCCTTTTCTCTTTCCCCGGAGTCCCTCTCTTCACAACAAAACACACACACACAAAAACCCATGTCAGAGAGAGTGTGTGTTGGGTGTTTTGTTAATTCGAAACTTTCATTCACATTTCTCTATTAATGAGTATGAGATGAGCGATATAAAGACCACCTCAACCCCCGCCGAATCCGTATCATACGCTCTTTCTCTTTCTATTTATTCTCTTCTTCCCCCTTTTCGTCTCGTGCCCTAGCATACCCATACGCACCCGCAAACCTCTCTCTCTTGAATCCATCGACTTCCTGTTGTTCTCCGATCAATTCAAAGACCGTAAGTTGTTCTTTACTTGTTTTTTTTGTTATTTGGTTGGTGATATGTTCAAGATGAGCTGTTTATTGCTTGATTGAAGTGAATTATGCTGTTTTTTGTCCCTAAATTTAATCATCTGGGTTCTTCCTAATTAGACTTTTACTGATTTGGGGTTTTGGGTTTAGTAATGAAACTATTGAATGTATGTGCTTGATATAGAAACAGGATCTACTCAAATTGGCTTTGACCATTCGTGAGAGCTGCTGGCAAGTTTATTAGGATACTTGTTTTCAGATTTCCTTGTGAGTTCTCAACTCTGATATGAAAATGTTTCCATTTTGAAATCATATCCGATACTTTGATTTACCACTTATATATGTAAGGAAATTGGTTGAAATGTTCCTTGGTCTCCTAATCAAATTACTTTTCATTCAAAGCTTGTATCCAATTGCATTGCTCTCACTGCATTTATATGATCTGTTTTTCATTCAATATTATTCATGTATTTTGTAGTAAATGAGAGTTTTACTCGTGATTTGCTGATGCCTTGTGTCACCCTCAACACAAAATGGAAGATCTGGATCCTAAAATGGAAAATAACGATTTGCCAACTGATGACATCATCAATGGAAACTGGGTTTTGAAGCGAAAAAGGAAAAAGACTCCTTCAGGGTCAGTGAAGTCCAATGGCAACACAACTGATTCTTTAAATTCGGAATCACACACAACTATTTCATCCAAAGGGAAGTTAAAACCAGACACCTCTTCTGATCGAACACCTGTCAAGGAAAAAGGAAACGATGGGGTCAGTTCTCCTTCATATACATTAGGCTAAACGCATGAAATAGCAACACACTTTCATTGATTTTTTTTTTTTTTTTTTTTAAAATTATAGCATTCTACTTTCATTTCTTCCTATTGCAACATTGTACTCTGCAAAATATACCTAGTTATAACAATGTCATTTTCAATTCTTTAATTGGGTAGACTTTTCAAAGTATAATAAGAAAATAGTTGACGTATACAATGTTGTATTGTAATAGAATGAAATGAAAGTAGGATTATATAATGCACAAATAAATGAACATGCATACCTGGTTCTTTCATTTAGCCCTATATATATTAATATTTGTGAATTTTCATTTTTCCACCAGTACTATTATGAATGTGTTGTATGTGATCTTGGGGGCGACTTGCTCTGTTGTGACAGCTGTCCCAGGACCTATCATATTGAGTGCTTGGATCCGCCTCTTAAGGTTTCTATTTACTTTATTCATGCATTTCTTGTAATGTTTTTTATTTAATGATGTCGGTTGTTGGGTGGATATTAATTACTTTATATCTTTTTTCTTGCAACTATTTGTGGTTAAGCAAATACCGGAAGGGAAGTGGAAATGCCCAACATGTTGTCAAAAAGACAACTCACTCGAGACCACAGACAATCTCAATCCTACCTTAAAGCGAGCAAAAACAAAGGGTAGTACAAGTAAAAAATCAAAAAGTAAAATCAAATCTGCAAAAACCGATAAAGTATCTCAGATAGATGATGAAAAACATGAGGGGGATCAGGGTCACCCTCAAAAGAAGGAAGTTGTTCTTGCTGTAGAAAGTGTTGCTAAATCCCTGAAAAGAAAGTGGAAAGTTCCTTCTGATGATGTCAAAAAGAAGCCTCGAAAACATGAAGCTAAAGAACATTTGGAATCGAGCAGTTCTCAAGTGAAACAAGTTAAAAGCAAGGCAATTAAGCATGCAAAGGCCAAATCTTTGTCAAAAAACATAAGAAGTGAAAATCTTGATATCAAATTTAAAGATGAGGTATTAATTCCTTAAAACCTATTTGCTTTTTCCTGTTGGAATTTATTGGATCTGTTTGGATGTTCTTGAAGCAGTAATATTTCGAATAGGCAAATAGTTTTCCTTTTTAAGTTTATATTTTACCTTTTTAAGTTTATATCATTTTAGATGTTCTTGTAACTACCATATGCCTACATATTTTCATATATTTTGCAGGTTGAACGGGTATTAGGTTGTCGAATTCAAGCCAATGAGACAAATCCTTCAACTAATGACATACCTAATGGGGGCACTGAAATAACTGAGAATAGTGAAGAGAATGTCACAGATTCAATGAATCAAGTCATGGATGATTCCAATAAAGATGCTTCAAATGATTTAGCAAAACCAACAGAAGATGTAGATGGAAAGATTTCAAATGATTTAGCAAAACCAACAGCAAATGTAGATGGAAAGATTGATGTAAACATTTCAAGTGATTTAGCAAAACCAACTGAAGATATGGATGGAAAGATTCCAAAACCAACTGAAGATGTAGATGGAAAGGTTGATGTAAAGAGTGAAGCTTTTGAAAGCCTTGAGAAAAAAGAATCTTTGCCCTCAATTTCTTATGAGTTATTAGTCAAATGGGCTGGAAAGTCTCATATACATAATACATGGGTACCTGAATCTGAGTTAAAAGCTATGGCAAAAAGGAAACTTGACAACTACACTGCAAAATATGGAAGAACATTGATAAACATTTGTGAAGAAAAATGGAAAACACCCCACCGAGTGATTGCCCTTTGTTCATCTAAAGATCAATCTCCCGAAGCTTTCATAAAATGGACTGGTCTTCCTTACGATGAATGCACATGGGAAAAGACCGATTCGCCCATAATGACAGAATCCCGTCATCTTATCGATTTATTCAACCAATTCGAGCAACAAGCGGCTGAAAAAGATGGTGGTCCACATGGACCGACCCATGGTGACGTGGCGAGTCTCATTGAGCAGCCGAAAGAGCTCGGTGGGACATTGTTCCCTCATCAACTCGAAGCATTAAACTGGTTGCGAAAATGTTGGTCAAAGGGCAAAAACGTAATTCTTGCGGATGAGATGGGGCTCGGGAAAACGATATCGGCGTCTGCTTTTCTGTCATCTTTATACTTTGAATTTAAAGCCCGTTTACCATCCCTAGTTTTGGTCCCGCTTTCCACAATGCCCAATTGGATGGCTGAATTCTCGTTGTGGGCCCCGTATCTTAATGTTATCGAGTATCATGGGTGTGCCCGGGCAAGAACCCTAATCCGTGAGTATGAATGGCATGGAAATGATCCAAATGGGAAGAAAAAGAACACAAATAGTTATAAATTCAATGTTCTTTTAACAACTTATGAAATGGTTTTAGCAGATGCGACTCATTTACGTGGGATCCCATGGGAAGCTCTTGTGGTGGATGAGGGGCATAGGTTAAAAAACTCGGAGAGTAAGCTTTTTAGTTTGCTAAATACGTTTTCTTTTCAACATCGGGTGCTTCTAACCGGGACCCCTCTTCAAAACAACCTCGGGGAGATGTATAATTTGTTGAATTTCCTGCAACCGGATTCATTCCCGTGTTTAACTTCGTTTGAAGATAAGTTTAGTGATCTGACAATGGCCGAAAAAGTAAACGAATTGAAGAAACTTGTTGCACCTCATATGCTTCGAAGGCTTAAAAAGGACGTGATGCAAAATATTCCCCCGAAAACCGAACAGGTGGTTCCGGTCGAATTATCGTCTATTCAATCGGAATATTATCGCGCCATTTTAACCAAAAATTATCACGTTTTGAGGAACATCGGAAACGGGGCTCCGCGGGGCCCACAACAATCGATGTTGAACATCGTAATGCAACTGAGAAAAGTTTGTAACCATCCGTATCTGATTCCGGGGACGGAACCGGAATTGAATTCCGGGCCAATCGAGTTTCTTCACGAAATGCGGATCAAAGCTTCTGCAAAGCTAAGTTTGCTTCATTCCATGCTCAAGATTTTGCACAAAGAAGGTCATCGGGTTCTTATATTTTCACAAATGACAAAACTTTTGGATATTCTTGAAGATTACCTGAACATTGAATTCGGGCCGAAAACATTCGAACGGGTCGACGGGTCGGTATCCATTTCGGATCGACAGATGGCGATTGCGAGATTTAATCAAGATAAAAGTAGGTTTGTGTTTTTGTTATCAACCCGTTCTTGTGGGCTTGGAATCAATTTGGCAACTGCTGACACAGTTATAATCTATGATTCTGATTTCAATCCACATGCTGATATCCAAGCCATGAATCGGGCACATAGAATCGGGCAATCAAATCGGCTTCTTGTATATCGGCTTTTTGTTCGGGCTAGTGTTGAGGAGAGAATCTTGCAGCTTGCGAAAAAGAAACTGATGCTTGATCATCTTTTTGTGAATAAGTCTGGGTCTCAAAAGGAGGTTGAAGATATTATAAAATGGGGAACTGAAGAGCTTTTTGATGGTGAAAACAGTGGTGTGGATTTGGAGCAGAAGAATAAGAAGCGGAGTGGTGGTTTGGGTGATGTGTACCAGGATAAGTGCAGGGATGGGAGTAATAAGATTGTGTGGGATGAAACTGCTATTTTGAAGCTGCTTGATCGATCCAATGTTGACTCAAGTTTGACTGATAATGGGGAAGGAGATATGGAGAATGATATGCTTGGCTCAGTGAAGGTATGTACAAAAAATTTGAAATATTATGCTTACTGGTGATTTGAATAAGTAGAAAATGGTTGATTTGTAGGTTAAATGCGAGAAATAGCAATGTGGTTAGGATCCTACTTTCATCTCTACCAAGTTATAGCAGTGTCATCTAAATACAAAGCAATTTTTGACTGCTATAATAAGAAAAATGTTAATAAGAAAAACGCTGTAATAGGAAGAAAAGTAAGATGCTATAATAATAGACAAATAAATTAAAGTATAATGTCCTAATAAGAAACAAATTCAAAGTACAATGCTATAATGGGTAGTTACATCTTATTCACATTTATTGTCAACATATGCTTAAGGTTTACCTTCTGAACTTATTGTGCATTGGGACTTTATAGGATTAAATGGACATGATGTGGCAGTTTTATTGAAACAGGTTCTTTAATGGTAACCAGGTTTTATAAGCCATTGTTGTAACAAACTAAATAGCATAAATACCCAAACTACCCCCCACCCCACTAACAAGATGCTTAGTATTTCTGCTGAATTCCTATAATACCCCTTATCTAAAATATGTGACTGAACTGGATGCATAGCAGTCAGTAACTAGTAACCAAGTTTCACAATTGGTTCCATTGGTATGAAATTGTTCCATTGTTGCTTTTTAGTATTAGATGCTCTAATCATCTTTCATGAACAGATATTATAGTTGCAGTTATTTGGTAAATCGTATATATGTTTAAGTTCTGATAAATTTTGAAGCTAATCCTTGGTACTAAATGGATATAGTTAAAGAAACAAAAAAGAATCATATCCAAGTTTGGGAAATATGATTGCTCATGGTTTTATTGTGGCCACATGCTTACTACAAACTTAAAATGCATTATTGTTATGTGTAATGAAATTATTTTGTTAATTCTTATAATCTTATGTTTTGATTGTATTTCCAATTAGTCTCTGGATTGGAATGATGAACCAACAGAAGAACAAGGAGGAACTGAATCACCTTCAGCAATTATTGATGGTAGCACTGCCCCCCAGAATTCAGAAAAGAAAGAGGATAATAATATTCCCACTGATGAAAATGAATGGGACAGGCTTCTAAGAGTCAGGTATGTCATTTGTTTATTACATTGTCATTGGTATTGGTATTGGTATTGTTTGCATCTAGTGGTTACTGGTTAGTGTGATTATTGTGGATGTTTAGATGGGAGAAGTACCAGAGTGAAGAGGAAGCAGCTCTTGGTCGAGGGAAAAGGGTAAGAAAAGCTGTTTCCTATAGGGAAGCATATCCCCCCCTTCACCCAACAGATCAGGTACCTACCTACCTAACTTTCTCTTTATTAATTATTTATTTATGTTTGTATCGTATCTAGTCTACGACATTATACGAATATTGAACAAAAAGATAAAAATGATTCCATCTTTGGGCATATAATATCTGTATTTAATATATAACCATGTTGACATTCATGTCCGAATTAATTATCTCTTATTTTGTCAAAAGTGATTTGAAGTGAACACCTTCACCCTGCTATATTATGATTTAAAATTTCAATATTTTTATTATATCTGCAGACTGGTGCGGAGGAGGAACCCGAACCAGAGCCAGAGCCAGAGCGTGAGTATACACCCGCAGGAAAAGCTCTAAAGCTTAAGTAGTGAGTTCTATATCTTTTAAAACTGAATAATATTCAGAGAATATTTATCTTGGGATTATTCATGCATTATGGTATAATGAATTGTTTGGTTTTTTTTTACAGTTGTAAGCTTCGAGCCAGACAAAAACAAAGACTGGCTCAGATGAAAATATTCAGAGAATCAATTCCTCCTCCTGCACAAGAAAAGAATGGTGTGGGACCAGCCACAGCCATTGATGCAAAAAATGAAGAACACCAACAAGACAAGACATTGGATCCCACCCATCCAAATATAAATCCGGGAAAGGTACATCATTCAGTTGTTGTACGGATATATATATATATATATATATATATATATATATATATATATATATATTGTTATTTAATGTTTTTTTTTAATAGGAAAAAGAGTTGGTAAAAGAAAAACAAAGTGTTGTGGTTCTGGGGCTATGTGCTCCAAATGCCCCCACAAAGCTGATGGAGTCTTGTTCAAGTAGACCACCAGGGCCCCCCGGCCTTGACTACTTCCCATTTCACTTAGCACCTTGCTCTCAAAACACACCTCCCTTTACTTCGGTATGTATAATAACTCTACAAAACAACCACTTCATTTACTTCCCACTCAAAACTACGTCGTTTCGAGTGCTTTTACTTTTTCGCTTTTGGTGGTTGGTTTAATGATTGATGGATTCTGGTAATTTCTATTCTCTCCTTGTAGCACACCTTTGTTCCACCACTAGGGAAAAGAGTGCAGGCTTCAGAAAACTCTGCAGATGCTTTATATCTTCATCATGAGATGATGATGGCAGCAGCAGCAGCAGCATTGCCCAAATTACCCTTCAATATACCCTCCCAATCCCAATCCCAATCCCATCTCAAAAACCTCTCTTCACATCCCCAAACGGACTTTCTCGCCAGTTTATCTTTGGGGAGATCAAGTGCCTCTTTCCCCACAATCCCAATGTTTCCAAATTTCAGATTCCATAAAGACAACCTTCAAGAAACGGACCACCCTCCTCCCCCTCCCACCATGTTCCCAGAAAACCACCCAATGCTGCCGGAAAACCACCGCAGGGTTCTCGAGAACATAATGATGCGAACAGGATCAGGATCAGGATCAAGTAATCCAGTTAAACGGAAACTTGTTAAAGATTTTTGGTCAGAAGAGGAACTTGATTTCTTGTGGATTGGGGTTCGTAGACATGGGCGAGGTGGTTGGGAAGCCATGATTCGGGACCCACGCCTTAAATTTTCAAGATTTAGAACGGCAGAAGACCTGGCGGCAAGATGGGAGGAGGAACAGCTCAAGATCTTGGATATTCCACCACCAAAAGCTTCAAAATCTTCTGGTTTTCCTGTGATCTCTGATGAAATGATGAAACGGGCTTTGCATAAAATCCGCTTTGCTCCTCCTCCTCCTCCGCCCGGTTTACAGCCCCACCTCACCCAAATGAAGCTGGGATTGCCGGAAAACCACCATTTCATGCAAATTCCGGCGTGGAATCTTGACAGGTTTCCGCTCAACTTTTTACAGCAACAGAATCTGAAAATGCCAAATCAGAAAGGTGAAAATGTTGATGGGGCTGGCGGCAGCGGCAGTGGTAGTGGCTTGCCGGAAAACAAGTTGCCACATTGGCTTCGTAATGCAGTTGGTGAGACTGGGACTGGGGGTGGAGGTGTTTCCCGGGCGCCGGAGCCTGAACTGCCGCCAACGGTTTCTGCAATAGCAGAGTCAGTGAGGTTGATATATGGAGATGAACCGCCAACCATTCCTCCATTTATCCCGCCCGGTTTGCCGCCTTCCCGCCCTAAAGATCCCCGCCAGATGTTCAAGAAGAAGAAGAAGAAGAAGAAGCACCGCCAATTGCTGCCAGATGCCACCCATCAACCCGAGGAACAAGAACATGCTGCTGCTTCTACTTCAGGTATCCAACCGGACCTCAATGTACCAGCACCATTACAACCACCACCACCACCACCACCACCTGCTGATCAAGATCCGCCATCTTTGCCACCAGAAAGTAAAAGTAGCTTACAGGAGGAGGTGGTTTCATCAGAAGGGACAGTGTCCGATCATCATGGTAGTGAAGATGAATGTTGAAGAGTTTATTAGGGTTTTTGTAGGCACTTGTTGCGATTCAGAGTAGCAAAACAAAATACAAAGGTTTATTAATTATAGCCTATAAGAGGAGCTTCCAAATTATGTAAAGTTGTCGTCTATTTAGAAGAAAAGAAAAAAATCATGTAAATGATATAGTGGGAACAAGTTGAGACATATTAAAACCCTTTTGCAGACTTAAGGAAAATGTCATAAATGGCATACAAATTTTTTAGGGTTTACTCATTTAGTCCCTAAAGTTTTTGTCGGGCTTTATGGGTCCCTAAACTAGGATATGACATGCTCTTTGCTCTTTTAGTCCGTGACAATCTGTAATAGCCGGGTCAGTGAGACAATGACCTTTTAGATAAAAAAACTCATATTGTGTCCCTATAAAGCCAAAAAATTAAGTTGAGGGATCAATTTGTACAAACAAAACTCCTTTTCTCCTACAATTTTTGGATTTGCTACAACACTAATTGTTTCAACAATCAAATCACCAATACCTCTTGTAAAAGCTCTTCCAGGTTACATCCCATTTGGGACCCACAACCTAGGAGGACCTTCTTCGGTGTCCCAATATTGCACATCTGGATTCTTTAACCCTTCAATCTGATCCAATGTAGGAACTCTTGCACCACATAATCTAAACCCTTTTAAGCTCATCTTCTCTAAATGGAGTTTGATCTATTGACAAATCAACTGCCACAATTTCTATCCCTCTTTTTTCAGCTATAATAGCTTTTGAATTGCTTGAATTAGCAACATAAAGTGTCTTCCCACGAACTAAAACAGTAATGGCTGTTGTCCCACTCATGTTATCATCTACATTATTGTTTGCATGTAGTTGAGAATTTGTTGTTAAAAAAGTAGCATGGCAGGCTTCAACAGCGTCCACATGAAATCGACTGTTTCTGAGGAGATTTTCACATAACTTTTGCTTCACGAATTTAGAACATTGAGTACCATATTCACCATGTCCATCAAAAACCCCAAAGAAATGGTCATTAGGGTTTGATCCAAATGGCGTGTGAATGCAAAAACTATCTTGATTGGCTTTATCAAGGGCGTGAGGGTAGTAGCCTCTTTGAGATAGATACGAATACTGTAACCTGTAATTTCCTGTTGGAATGACGACGATTCTAGACCCATCTGGTGGTAGAAAACTTTGTTGAAACCCTTCGTAACCTTGTTATACCTGCTTCGGGATCCTGATTTGCGTCTCCATCGTCTTCTTTGTATGAAGATTTGGGTGAAAACACGGCGATTTCAGATGTGCCCACATTATCGGTTTCTTTCACTTTAGGATCTCTAGGTAAACATATATCACCGATTACAGTCTACTGAAAAAGCACAACCCATTACCGGAAACGAGAATGCGCCATCGATCCTTGTTCAACAGTTAGATTAAAACTCATGATCAAGAGTTTTACAGACTTTGTATATAGAAACAAAATCAAGAAGCATGTTGCTTAACTTTCCAATCAGAGCTTGCGAGATTCTTTACTTCATCTTGTGGATTTGTGGGTATTTCTCTCAAGTCTTCAAAAACTAAAACAGAAATGTCAAAGAAACAACCGATTAAAATCCAACAGATACCTTATCTGCTGGCGTAGTCTCTATCTAAACCCAAGAATCGAAAATCATTACGTATCTAAATAAAAGCATAAACTGAATCCCTGAATTGATCATTGAATATATATATATATATATATATATATATATATATATATATATATATATATATATATATATATATATTGTCTTTACAGGGGCTGTGAGTTTATTTTTGGTATGTGCACATGTTGATAGGACTAGAAGAGTACTTCATATTTTAGTTTAGGGACTCATCAAACCCGATAAAATTTTAGAGACTAATATTTTAGTTTAGGGACCCATAAAACCCGATAAAAACTTTAAAGACTAAATGGGTAAACCCTGAAAGGTTTATAGAGCATTTATGTCATTTTCTTAGTAGACTTATTAACTGAATATGTTATGTGCTTCTAGGCATATCACCAATGATTTCCTTAATCCACCGTCTGCACTAGGGATGAAAGTGGGTCAAAACCTGGACCGGATGGACCTGGACTCGGAAAACCCGGAACCGGTTAATGGGATTTTATAGAACCGGAAACCAAAACCGGTATATAGGAACTGGTTCCGGTTCGGTTCCGGGTAAAGTGGGTTTAGAACCGGAAAACCCGAAAACATCAAAGTGGGTAGGTTGGAACCGGATAAAGTAGGTTTAGAACCGGAAAACCCGGAAAATTAAACTTTGAAAATTTTCATATTGATATCCCAACTTTGGGGGACGTAACTCATTGAATACGAAACAAAAATTAACAAAATTAGAGTTTAAAATCATGTACAAACTCTAAAATACACTCTGAAAAAACCCGCATGTCAATATGACTTTAAACGAATGAGATATGCTTGTGTTAATATTTTCAGATAATATAAAGTACAAAAACAAATAGCTGAAAATAGAGGTGCAAACGAGCCGAGCCGAGCCCGAGCCTGGTCAGGCTCGGCTCGGGCTCGTTTAAGTTATGCGAGGCTCGAGCTCGAGCTCGGCTCGATTCGAGCTTCTTGTATTGAGCTCGGCTCTAGCTCGTAAATAATTATACAGGCTCGATTTAAGCTCGGGTTTGGCTCGTTTTTTGTCTGACGTGCCTAAATAGGCTTAAGCTCGGCTCTAGCTCGTTAAGAAGCTCGATTACTAATACCCTAAATCCCTAACCCGTAAATATATTTTTTATTTAAATATAAAAAGCCTAATCGAGCTTAGTGACATAGGCTCCAGCTCAAGCTCGTTTAATAAACGAGCTTAATATTAAACTCGAGCTCGGGATCGTTTAAAATCGGTTTTGAGTCGAGCTTTTATCGATTCGATCCCGAGTAGCTCACGAGTAGCTTGGCTCGTTTGTACCATTAGCTGAAAAGTTGAAAATTTTCAGTTTTGATA